GTCACATTTTTCCTTGGTTTTGTGGAAAACCAATTCCCTTCAATTTTTTATTTTTTGTTTTTGGGTAATGAAAACAAATTCTATCCACAATTGTAACAAATGCTAATCCTTTAATTGACAATTTTTATGAAAAATAAAGCCAAATGAACCCCAAAAGATCCAAAATTTCAATGGATGAAAAATTATAACAATTAAACACATTTAATTGACAATTTCCAGTAAACACAAGTTCTAGGCAATTCAATTCCTTGGAAGTCATTTTCTTTCACCCAAATTCCATTATTGCAATCAAACAGACCCTAAGATCTTATAATTTCCTAACATGTTTGGAGGTTTGCATGAAGTAACCTATATGACTCCAACAAGATGTCACAGTAATTGTAGTTTAGCTTGTATGTCACGCTAATCCTTTGGGGATGGTTTTGTCTATCACTCTGTTTTTGCATTGAATTTCTTCCATAATGAGCATGCCTTGAATAATAAAATTAACAAAACTGTGAATATACATGCTGAAAATACCTTGAGTATTCTTTTTCCTTTCTTTTATGCCTTAGTTTTCCTCTAAAATGAAATGGTTGCCAGTATAGTTTTAACAAGTGTGTTGACTAAGAATGTTTCTTTGGGCACCATACTTCAGTCAACTTCATTGAAATGTTACTATACTTATGTGAGGATGCCCCATGCTCGAGTCACTTTCAATGCAAAAGATTTTCCACTTTTACTGTCTCGTGTTTGCTGATCCATGTTTGCTTCCCTCTAGTGGTGTAATCTGGTGTTCCTGAAATTTAGTCTGTAATGATGCATGAACATTTGCATGAAATTATTTTTCATTTCGTGGTTGTTTCAGGAGCAAAAACTTAAGAATGAGATTGAGCAGCTAGAGAAAGATATCAGAGAGCAGGATGCCTATATCACAGGCCGGAAAAATGAAGCAGCATCATTGGAGACTCACATTTTTGGATATAGAGAAAAATACAATCAGTATAGAGTGAAGAGAGACGAGCTACACGATGAGCGGAAGTATGATTATCAATTATTCATGTTAATCTGTTCAAAAGATTCTTCAGCTTGCAATCTGATTTGTATGTTGCTTTTCAGGTCATTGTGGGGAAGAGAAAGTGAACTTACTGCTGAAATTGAACAGCTCAAAACAGAAGTTGCAAAAGCAGAGAAAAGTCTTGATCATGCAACTCCTGGGGTGAGTGCATAGTTGCTTGGTTATTTTATCTCACCTTCTTTTTTTCTCTCTCCTGGTTTTGTGTAAGAAAGCAAATAGATGATAGAAAATGAGGTTAACCCCCACAATGCTTACCTGTTCACACTACTTAGAAATTTTCTTGATGTGGTATAAAGTATAATTATGCTTAATGCATGTTTTTGGGCACTCCTGCTCTAAGTAGATATTTGATTTAAATGCTTTTATGCTTCACACTTGCCACTGCTACTGCGTTATGTGACTAGTTGTTGACTTCTAATTAATTTTTGCCATCTCTAGCTGCCTAGACAAAGGAGATGATGGCCCCATGACTGATGATATTATGTTTTTTGGTTTAAGCAACTGAATCTTTTGTTCCTTTCTTTTCTTGAGTTTTCTTAAATCTTCATTCCTTCTTTTGACCTTACCTTCTTGTGAACTCTCAGGATATAAGAAGAGGACTAAATTCGGTTAGGAAGATATGTAGAGAGTATGAAATTTCTGGAGTATTTGGTCCAATTTTTGAGTTGCTAGATTGTGATGAAAGATTTTTCACAGCTGTTGAAGTTACTGCTGGAAACAGGTGAAAACACTTCTCTATAACTAGCAACACAATTTTCTCATACTTACTATTTCCTCTTTTTTCGACAAACCAAAATTTCATTGTCAAGGGAGATAAAGGCTGGCTACAAATTTTTTGTTATATGACCAGCCGACCTGCCTGCAAATTTCTTCTTGCCTTTATTTATTTATATTCTTTTTGTACAGTTTATTTCATGTGGTGGTTGAAAATGATGAAATATCGACCCAGATAATTAGACACCTTAATGCACAGAAAGGTGGACGAGTTACATTCATACCATTAAACAGGGTGAAAGCTCCACATGTTACTTATCCACAGAGCTCTGATGTGATACCGCTTTTAAAAAAGCTGAGATTCTCCCGGGAATATAACTCAGCATTTGCTCAGGTTAGTCAGGAAGTACCGCGTTATTTCCTGTCTATTAGTTTGTCACTGTTATCATTGCCTAATCTAAATCCCAATCAGAGTTATTGGTGGTTCACCACTTGGCAGTTGATTAAAGGTTTTTTATTTTTTATTTTTTATTTTTTTTGGGTGATTCATCTGTGTATGTTTATCATAAAAACACATATTCTAGCATCAAAAGTTACTAAGCCTAACTCTCATACATGCTTCAGCATTTCTTTGATTTTCTCTCGGAAGATTGATTTAACTTGCAAGAATGAAGCCCTGATTTCTATCTTCACTGGACCTGTGGACTGGCAATGTTTTCTAGTACGAGCACCTGTTATATCACTCTCTTCGGTGTTGTAAAAAATATTTCAGGATGAATGAGATCATACCGTCAACAGCAGTTCTCTATTTTTACTTCAGTAGAAGATAGAGAATTCCCTGTATATTTTGTATGTGATTTTTGTATCTTTGCATATCATGACACAAAATTTCATGTATTATTTAAGAACTTCTTCATCCTTGTTGCCTCTTATGGGGAGATAAATGCCTTATAACATGAGGAGATTTTCTAAAATCACCTCTGCATGCGTGCTCATCATTGCGTCTAAATGACTGTGCATGCATTAGTACTACTACGAGAGCCTGTGGATCTGCTTAACGTTCTCTGGACTCGGCTGATAATGTGTTTTTTTTCTGTCAACTATTTTTTATTTTTACTTTGTATATTTCGTACTTTACTGTTTAGATGACATATGGTGTATATAGTTGTCTAATTTGTCATCACTTCATTCTCAATTTGATAATTGACAGGTGTTTTCAAAAACTGTAATTTGTCGAGATTTGGATGTTGCTACACGGGTGGCCCGAACAAATGGTCTAGATTGCATCACTTTGGAAGGTTGCTGTTGAACTTCACATTGTCTGTTGTTTGACTATTCTAGCTGGCATCTCTGATCTCATCACAAATTCACCCCTTGCTGCAGGTGATCAAGTAAACAAAAGAGGTGGCATGACTGGAGGCTTCTATGATTATAGGCGTTCAAAACTGAAATTCATGAACACTATTAGACAGAATACAAATTCTATAAACGAGAAGCAAAAGGAATTGGAGATAGTTAGATCTAAAATTCAAGATATCCTTGCAGTACTTTACAGTTTCTTTTGCAATTAGACCTTATTCATTAACTCTTTATCTATTTATCTTTCTATTGTTGAACTTTTTTACGCATTCACATACCTTTTTACGCATTCAACTTTTTACACTTTATTTTTCATTTTCACCTTGTGCATATGAAACCACTGTCAGGTTAATGATTGATGGCCGTCGTTGACTAGTTCATTTACATGGGACACGCCCACATTTTCATGTTGGTTGTCTCCTTTGTTTTGACTCTAATTGTAAGGATTAATGGTTGTCTTGTAAAGACTTCTTCAGTTTTTAAAAGAAGATATTGACTGTTATGTTATGGATGTGAGTTTATATATGAATAATGAATATTTGAGACGAGCTGACCACATTTTTGGTTTCCTCTGAGCTTGTGTTTCATGATTTCATCCAGAAATTTAACTTTCAAAACATCAGACAATTTTTTTCTGGTTTGTGAAGTATATTATATCCGTTAATTAGCATCAGTCTGATGCTTGCATGACTGGTTTGTTTAGTGTTCTTGTGCCACTTTGGGTTCTTTGTTTTCGCTGAATATGTCCCACAGATTGACCAGAAAATCAATGAACTAGTGTCCGAGCAGCAGAAAAATGATGCCAAGCTGGCTCATGAAAAATCTGAATTGGAACAGCTAAGGCAGGATGCTGCTAATGCTGAGAAGCAGAAACAATCCATTTCCAAGTCACTTGAGAAGAAAGTGTGGACCCAAAAGATTACTTTCATAATTGTCAGTGTAGTTCAATTCTTCTAACTCTTGGATGTTGGTTACATTTTTGCAGGAGAAGTTGCTCATCAATATATTGAGTCAAATTGATCAGAATAGAGCTAATATTGATATGAAACGAGATGAAATGGGAACCGAACTTGTCGATCACTTGACACCGGTGGAGAAAGAGCTCCTCTCTAGGTTGAACCCTGAAATAACAAATCTGAAGGAGGAGCTAATTTCCTGCAGGAGTAACCGCATGGAGGTTAGCAAGTTGATTCAAGGGGTTTTGTTAATAGACAATATTTGGTGGCTTCTGCTTTAACCTTTTACTCTAACTGGCAATTGGTAGACTGAAACAAGAAAATCAGAGCTCGAGATGAATCTATCTACAAATCTTGTTAGGCGAAAGGAAGAGTTGGAGGCTATAAAATTATCTGCAGAGACTGACACGTTACGTGGCGAAGCTGATTTGAAAAGACAGGAATTGGTGGATGTAGATTCATTGGTCCAGAGTTTGACTCAACAACTTAAGAGTGAGACTGTAGATTCCTTTAGCTTACTTCCAATTTCATTGTTATATTATTTGGTTTTTCTCATCATATTATTAACTTGCCCAGGAGTTTCTGATAGCATAAATGAGCGAAACAAGAAACTGAAGCAGATCAAAGATGACAAGGATAATTTCAAGGTATTATTCTATTTGGTTATAATTTCTGGTCCTCTGGTTTGGTGACACAGCTGAAATAAGGATTTCTTATTTTTTTCCATCCCCCACCCTACTCTCTCTCTCCCTCCTTACTCCCTGTCCTCTTGCCATCTTTTCTTTTTACTACGAGTTCTTGTGGGTACAGAATTTGGAAGACAGGTACAAAAATACCCTGAAAGATGAAGAAAAGGAACTGGAGCAACTATTGAGTAAGAAGAATATGTTTCTGGCCAAACAAGAGGAATACTCAAAGAAGATCCGGGATCTGGGTCCTTTATCTTCTGATGCTTTTGAAATGTATTATCCTTATCTGAAATTCTAAACTATAGAAAGTTATATTGGACATCAATGATCTATTTTGCATTGTTAGTTGGTGGGTCCCATCTGAGTTTTATGTTTTCCATTTGAGTTTGCTCAAAAGCACATACAGGATCCCATCTGTGTTTTCCATGTGGATTTGCACTCAATTCATACTATTACCCACCAATTTATTATGGTTCAAGTTAATAAATTTCTTTGGCCAATTTGGTGATTAAACATCTCAGTGAATCCTCGGATATATGTTAGAGCAGAAAAATTATAGAGGTGATTATAGAGAGGAAGACGTTCAAAATAGCTATACTGTGAGGTACATTTTAATGTTAACAATAGCTTACTCTGAATTCAGATTCTATGGAGCTTCTTATGTTACAAACACCAAAAAAAATAGCCTCTTTGCATTGTTCAATTACCGCTTTTGTGTAATAGGATTTGGCCCCTGTTTGGTGGGAATTAAAATTAGATTTTTATTATATTTTGATAGAAATTAATGAAATGTGTGGTTGAAAGGTTGTGGGTCCCATAAAATGTGTGGTTAAAATTAATTGTTGAATGATTTGGATAAAATCTTGATTTTAATTTTTATCAAACAGGGGTTGTTCTTGTTTGTTTCAACATCTGTTCCAGATTTAATTATGTGCTTCTATGTAATTTATTTTCATTTATTTATTGATTTAGTTTCCCTCTGATGCAAATTGTAGATACAAGAGAAAAAACATAAAAGAACTGCATAAACTGCTGCACAAGTGTAATGAACAACTTCAGCAATTCAGCCATGTAAATAAAAAGGCACTCGATCAATATGTAAATTTCACAGAACAACGGGAAGAGCTCCAAAGAAGACAAGCTGAATTGGAGGCAGGTGATAAGGTACAATGATTCCTCATAATTCTGATGTTTTCATGGAGCTATAATTTATTGTTTATGCCCAAGGGGATACCTGTCCGATTAATTTCATTTCTTACCCTTATTTGGTAGAAAATCCAAGAGCTTATAGCAGTTTTGGATATGAGGAAGGATGAATCCATTGAGCGGACCTTTAAAGGTGTGGCTAAGCATTTTCGAGATGTGTTCTCAGAACTTGTGCAAGGAGGCCATGGATTTTTAGTAATGATGAAGAAAAAGGTTAGTTATATTGGTTTGAGTACATTTATCACTTGTAAAACAAAAGTTTACCAATTTGTAGATTAACGAGCATTATTTATTGCCTTGCAGTTGCTTGGTTCTTTTTTATTAACTTGGTTGCTGTATGGGTTTTAAACTCTTCCATTTTTTGTACGTTTCGGAAAGGAACCTAATAATACCTGGATGAGTAACCTTAAATTCAAAAACCATCACCTAATATCAATCAGCTTACACGGTTCGTTGCAATTGGAATACTGGTTTTGACTGACAGTTGTAATATTTTTGTTCAAATTAGTTTATGGGAATGGTAGTATTAACTAATGAGTATGTAAATCAAATCCTAAAAGAATATCATGTGAAGCTGCTATAACCAAGATTAGTAATGGCATATTTGGGTATTGTTTACATTATTATAGAGAACTGACATGAATATATAATAATTGAACTTATTTCCTTATGTACAGATATGCAGAAAGTTAACCACAATGTCTCTTGCTTATTCCTTTCCATTTATCTAAACTAATTTTGCCTTAATAATGATAGTCATGGTAAAGTGCTCTATTTTTAATGAGGTTTATAGGGAAATGGTTATACATGATTTCCTATTATTTATACAGGACATTGATGACGTTGAGAATGATCAAGATGATGATGAGCCTCGCACAGCGGACACGGAAGGAAGGGTTGAAAAATACATTGGTGTCAAAGTCAAGGCATGTTATTAAGTTTTGCAAACTTGTGTTCTGTGAACACCCTGAGCAAGGCTACACTTGTTCTTCAGTACATTTGATATCTTCTAATAGATTAGCATTTCTAGCTTTGCATGCGTTTTTTGAATAAATAGAGGTGAAATACTTGTGTAGATGAAAGCAACTAGGACTCATTATACTGAATTTCCTGTTCTCAACATTATAGCAATCATTTGGAAAGTGTAGTTGCACAAGTAGTTTTTAGTTCTAAGTCTAGTAATTTCTTTGACTCGTGCTTCTTGTGGTAGGTTTCTTTTACTGGGCAAGGAGAGACACAGTCGATGAAACAATTGTCCGGGGGTCAGAAAACTGTAGTGGCACTGGCACTAATCTTTGCCATTCAGCGATGTGACCCTGCCCCATTTTATCTTTTTGATGAGATAGATGCTGCTCTGGATCCTCAGTACAGAACTGCTGTGGGAAGTATCCTAACTTTGGCCGGTTCTTTATGTTTTCAATTTTTTGGTGAAAGAAAGCTGTCATGATTTTTTTCCCTTTCTTTTCCCTGCTAATGATACCGATGAATTAAAATTCTGTTTTCACTCCACACATGTTAAATACCCACCACTTGTGTGCTTTTCTCACTACATTTTGAATAAGATCGTGTTGTCTCTGTTTTAAATAAGTTGAATAAACGTTTTTTTACAGCTATTAAAGCTGATCTTATAAACTATTCATAAATGAGGCCCATGAAGATGTGATGCCTTTGCAACCATAGAATTTATAATCCCTGAAGAATAAGGTAGGACAATAAGAGTTTCTTTTTAGGGCTAGACAATGAGCACAACCTTTCACAGTCAGCCACGTTGTTGCCTGTCATTAATGACATGGGTGTTCTATTTTAAATTCACCTTTATTTTCTCATATCAATATATATGCTTTTTAAACAAATATGTCAAATTGTATCTGCCTGGATCCACATGGAAAGACTTTCTTGACAGGGATACTGTTGCTGCAAGTCCTGGATTCCTGAATTTGGATAATTATTAGGCAACAAGAGAATTCAATAATGTTTGAGTTATAAGACATTTACTTTGTTGAACTACCACATCTAAAAGTTTAATCTCTTAGAAAGGGGACATGTTTTAGCTGGCCAAATAGCTGCGAGCTCATTTCCTAGCTTAAACATGGTTTCTGTGCTATTATCTTTGTTGTGTGCAGCTATGGATCCTTAACATTACTTGCCATTAGATATGGTTCGTCGTCAGGCAGACACGGCTAGCACCCAGTTCATAACCACGACATTTCGCCCGGAGTTAGTTAAGGTGGCTGACAAGATATATAGCGTCTCACATAAAAATAGAGTTAGCCATGTTTATGTTTCCACCAAGGAAGAAGCTTTGCAATTTATTGAGGAGGATCAGTCGCACAACGTTTGAATGAGGTTAGACTTCTGTTAATGCATTTATTTTGGATAAAAACTCGTTCACCTTTATAGCTCCTTACACACGGTTTAACTAAATCTTGAATTCAATGTGTGGATATGCAGCGACAATGGAAAGCCTTCACGAGGACAGAACATGACCATTATGAGATCTTTGTGGGATGTGTAAATCCTTTGTAAACATTATTAGTAGGTACTTCCGGAGGTTGATTTTAATCTTTAAATTTTTTTCTCAATGCCCATGTACAGTGTTGATGAATCAGATGCTGACGTTCTGTTGACAAGTATTTCTTTCTTAGAACTACAAGGATGTTACTTCTCTTCAGGTGTTAACTCTTTTCTAGAAATCTGCTTGTGTATAATAAATATTAAAAGGTTAGCGTACAATATTTACAGAATTTTGTTTTAAATGAGTTCTTTCCAAGCATCTTGGAAAGCATTCCCTAGCTAATTAATTTAAATGTTCATCCTGTGGCCTAATTTATATATAATGTTAATACTTGCACTTATTCCATCATGGCAAAAGCCTAACATGCTGTTGTTAGGGCACTTCTGAATTTTGAGCCAAAATAATAATAATAATAATAATAACCAAAATTATGATTTGTTATACGCTGTTTATTTACTTTGAAGAAAGCTTAAATTTTGGACATTTATTTTGAAGTAAATTGTATGGAAAACAAAAGAAAGTAATTGATAATAATATAATATAGCAGCAGAACACAAAATCAATGAGAACTAACAATAGATTAAGCTGCCAAATTTCTCTAATAGTTACTAAAAATTTGTAAAAAATAAATTCTAAAAGAAAAAGATGCTAAACAAATTCTATTAGTCAAAAGAAAAAGGTGCTAAACTAACTCTATCAACTAAAAGAAAATCAATCTAACTTCTTGTAATTGGTTTTGTGGTGAGTCCATAACCAAAGGGGAAGAGTGGATCATAGTGTGAATCACCAACATTCATGGGGAGCTGATCTACAGTCTTGAACCAAGTTCTTGACAACTTCCCGCTGAACCCGTAGTCCCCGAAGAGGACATCAGCCACCCCATTGCCTTCTGTTCCCGGTAGCCAAGCAGCCACTAATGCATCGATAGAGTTAAGGTAGGGCTGAATCACCAAAGGTCGACCGGATACAAGAACAACCACACACTTGATGCTGCCACAAACATTCTTAATTGTGTCCAAACCTTGTTGAGGAATGGTAAGGTTTGAATTGTCACCTGCAGATTCAGCATAAGGAGGTTCTCCTACTACAACCACGGCGTGGGAGAAGTTGGATTTTACAAAATTCTTGTCCGGGCTTTCACTGTAGGAGATTTCTGTACTTGGATGAACTGCAGCCGAGATCCCGTTAAAGATTGTGGTTCCGGCAGTGTAGTTATTGCCACCTTGTCCTTGCCAAGTTATTGTCCAACCACCACATTGCAATCCAAGATTGTTAGCGTGGCTTCCAGCAACTAAGATTTTGGATGCCTTTTTGGGTAGTGGAAGTACCGGGCTATCAGCATTTTCTCCATTCTTCAATAGTACAAGTGATTTCCTCACGGCCTCCCTTGCCAAATCTCTGTGAGCCTGTTCAAGGAACAAATTATATTTTAATTGTATGCTTGCAAGACTTGACTATACAATGAATTAGATTTTAACTTTTTTTATTTAATTTTTTTACTAACCTGGCTTCCAAGTTGATCGACTAAACTATGATCAGCCATGGGATTCTCAAAGAGGCCCATTCTGAATTTTACCCTCAATATTCTTCTGACGGCATCATCAATCCGGCTCATTGGAATGAAGTTGTTTTTCACCAAGGAGGTTAAAGTATCAATGAATTCTGTATGGTTGAGAGGAACCATAATCTGAACATGTCAACAGGGAGAACTTTGTGTTAGCATTTGATGCAAGGGCTCTGAGCAATCACAAGAATCTAACTTACCATGTCAATGCCAGCGTTAATCCCTGTTAGAACAGAATATGTATAATTGGTATGTTGTGGATATGTGATTTTGTCTATTCCTTGCCAATCTGAGATGACAAATCCCTATAAATTGTAGCAAATTCGAAAATTTATTAGTGGGGGATCTATCAGTATGTTTTGCTCTAATAAATTACCCACTATTTTACTGAATTATTTGAAGCTATACCCTGAATTTCAAAATGCCTTTGAGGAATTTGGTGACGAGTTGACGATTTGCATGCATTTTCACTCCATTTAGACTCGAATAGGATACCATAACAGTTGACACACCCTTGATAATAGAATTGTAGTATGGTGGCATATGAATGCTTAGCAATCCATGCCAGTTAGTCATCGTGTTGTTCATATTGATTCCTTTTGTAGTCCCACCGTCTCCAACGTAGTGTTTGGCACAAGCTGCAACCTTAGTACTATTTCACAAGAAAACAAATCACATTAGAGGAATTTAGTCAATTCGTTGATTATAAAATGTTGTGGACTTGGTTGGCACGAGTGCGAATTACTTAAAAAGTATACTTACTTTCCACCAACATAAGGAACACCCTTTGGTGAATTGGGTGGGATATCTCCTTGTAAACCAGGAATGATTTCTGTCATATCTTGTACAATTTTAGGGTCCTCACTATAACTCTCATAACACCTTCCCCACCTTGGATCTCTGCATACCTATTAATTGTAGAATTGAACATAGTTTAGTTTGTAAAAATTAAGGTTTTCATAAAATTGTACGAGGATTATTGTATACCGCAACGCATGGAGCAAAGACATAAGGAATGCCAGTAGCTCTGGCTTCAAGGGCAGTTGCAGCACCAATCCTCTTCACAAGGTCTTTATCTCTGCATAATGACGAGAGAGAAAAAAAGACATGTAAATATGTTATTGCACGACTCAATTCAGTACAAGATTATAGTACTGACCTAGTTGCTCCAAGGCCAACATTGTGGGGAAATATGGTAGCCTTGTAAACATTATTGTGGCCATGAACAGCATCAATCCCATAAATCATAGGAATCCCAAGTCTACTAGACAAAGAACCATTCTGAAATCCATCCACCATATCCATCCACTCCTCGGCTGTGGCCTGTTCACGTGGCACGCTTCCACCACCGCTTAGAAGGCTGCCGATGGAGTAATCTCTCATGATCTCTGGTGTGGCAGCACGGCGATCAATCTGCGCCATCTGGCCGATTTTCTCAGCCAGGGTCATTTGGTCCATGAGAACCTTTATGCGAGTATTGATGGGCTGGTTTGGATCCTTGTACAGCACGTTCAACTTTGAGTCTTGTCCCCATGCTGATGCTGATGCACATAAGAGCAGAAGTCCCAATACTGGGACTAAATACCTTGAACACATTGCTTCGAAACTTGTTTACTTTCTGAAAAGTTTAAGATAGAGTTAATAATAAACACAGAACTTTTTAGAATAAGTGACACGAAGCGTGTAGAAACTGAAAAACATGCATGAATTTTGAGAAAAATACAGAAGAAGAACAAAGGAACTGACGTTGAGAAGGAGAGAAGAAGTGTCTTAACCAGGAAGAATTAACGAATATGTAAAAGGTAATATTACGTGGGTTTATATAGACATGCAAGGTGTTAGTGTTCTTACACAATTAGGATATTAGAATGGCTTCAAATTCGATAAGGCGTTGGTGTTCTTACACAAATAGGATGTCTGCATGGCTTCAGATTTGATTAGGACTGCTTATTCAATTAGGATTATAATTCAGTTTAATTTCATATGTAATTTGTATCACTCACACACAATTTTACTTTTTTTTATTTTTTCTGAAAATTTGTTCTTCATACTGTAATTTTTACGTCATTCGAACATGTTTGAACATTGAAAGTATTTAAAAGAACTTATTCTTTAAAAAATTATATTCGAAAAATAAATAATTTAAAATTAAGTCAAAATAATTAAAAATCAAACAAAGATACGGTAACTCTTTGAAATCAAAGGCACAAAAAGAAAAATTATATAATAAATCAGCCTACTAGAAAATTATATTTGGAAAAATAAGTAATTTAAAGTTGATTTAAACACGAGAGTCTGAGAAACTAAAACCCAAACAATTTCCATAGTCAAGCAACGTGTTCCGACATTATCTTATAACCCACGTTTTCGGATAAAATATCGAATTTTTTTTTTCATATTTATATGTATAACTGAATAATATTATTTGTTACAGAAAAATAGAATTCATAATTCAAAAGGAGACGTTGCATGAATCGCACCCTCAATAGAAAACAAATAAGGTAACGTTGCTTTTAAAGTTTTACTAATTTAAATTTTGAATGAAACATGATATAAAATTGAGCTATTTTCGAGCAAAAGACATCATAATATGGAGTGGCGACTATTTCATTAAAATTTATTGTTTGAGAAATTTGACTTCATCGTCATCGTCATTCATCGTATATGTTTTCTCTCGTTCTAGTAAATTTATAATTATTTATTAATATATTATAAATGGTTGATTTCAATTGGATTGTGATCATGGATATGTTTGCATGATGTTAAGGAGGATTATTTTGTGTATTCACCATGGATTCAGTAATTATTCCTGAATAACGGCATTCAATTTCGTCCATTTAAAAATTGGCTAAAGTAAATATATTAATTTATGAGTCTCAAAGGAGTTCTCCCCTGACCTCTTAGAATTTTCATTAGAAAACAGGGGCTTAGTTGACGGTCTAAGAAGAAACTTTATTAAAAGTTTGATGGGTGCGTAAGGATGTTGTGCGTGGTATAAAAGAAAAGTGCATTGTAAAATCGTCCTCCCTGTACCCACTCCCGAGTATATAAAAAAAGTGTATTCATAAAAATATTTGGAAAAGGAAGGGAAATGGGATAGCGTTAAAGGCATTTTCCTAGCCGTCGAATACACTAGCTACACCTAACATGTGAAATGAGTGTGTAAGGATGTTGTGCTCAGCGTGGAATACCATGTAAGGAGTCTTTCTTTCTTTGTTCTACTCTACATAGATATACAAATTAGGATTTTCTTGGATTAGGTGGTTTTTATTTAATATGATTCGAGATGAAAAATTTCAAGAAGCTTTTCAACTTCCAAGAAGAAGATTCAGAATTAAGATTAGGAATGACAAATATGAGAATAAGAGATTTTGTTGGAATTTAATAATTTGATTTTCAAAATGAGTCAATTTTTTTACTCGAGTTGATTCAGATTATTTTAATGAACAACAAGTTCAGTTATTTACGAACAAAAAGTACTGAATTCTCTTTTGAATAGGTCCGAAAAGGAGAAGGAAGGCTGGAGTAAGACCAAGCTTTTAGAAGTACATAAGAAAATGTGAATTTCATGATAAGAAATAATGATACTTATTGTCTGTATAGCTCGAAAATGAATTATTGTTTCTGATCAAGTGACGTGTAACAACGTTAACTCCCTAAGATAGCCGCATAGAT